GGGGGCTAATTAGCCAATAAAAAAAAAAAAGACACCACTTGACAATCTCTCTCTTTTTTTTTTAAGTGCATGTAGTTCCTCAACTTACGACCACGGTCGGGTCCAAAATTCCCGCCGCCAAGTGGGACAGTTGTTTGCCCCGTTTCACGACCTTTCCTGCCACCGTCGTTATGTGAGTCGCTGCAGCCCTTGAGTAAATAACACTTGCTGTTAAGTGAATCTGGTTTTCCCCATTGGCTTTGGTCGCGAAAGAGGATCAGTGCGGCCGTCATAAACAGGGATCGGTTGCCCAACAACGTCTGGATTCTGTCTCCCGTGGCTACACAGAGAATGCTGCAATGGTCATAAGTGTGGAAAATGGTCAGAAGTCACTTTTTCACTGCCGTCGTAAGTTTGAACCGTCGCTAAATGAACAGTTGTAAGTCAAGGACTATCTGCAAAAATGAGCCAAGGAGGAATGACTCTTTGGAAGGACGGGAGGCATTTAAGATGAGACATGGAAAAGGTTGACCAACAACAGAGCTGAATCGAAGAGGATAGCAGAGTCGGAAGGGACCTTGGAGGTCTTCTAGTCCAACCCCCTGCTTAGGCAGGAAGCCCTCTACCATTTCAAATGGTCATCCAATCTCCTCTTAAACACTTCCATTCTTGGAGCAATCACAACTTCTGGGCATCTCTGGATCTCAAAGCACCCCAGAAACAACACCGATTATTTGAAGGAACGGGCCGTTTGAAAAGAAGACGCCGCGGGAAAGTGAAATTGACAGATACACAGAAACAAACCAACCAAAAATAAATCAACAACCAGCAAACCACCGAAACTGATCGATTCACCAAACCCCCCCAAAATAAAATAAAAAATCAGCCAGAGGGGGAAAAAAAACTGAAATTGACAGTTTCACACACAACACAAAGAAAAAAGAATCAGCTACAGAAAATTCCTGAAATTGACAGATTCCTCCAAAGGAGAAAATGGACAAATTCACCACACATAAACAAAGGAAGAAGCCAGAGGAAAGAAAGCGAAATTGACACAACGACGACATTGAAAACCGAAACCTACGGCGTTGCCATCTCTGGACAAAATGTCCCTGCTTGGAGAAGGTGGATGGACTCACAAAAGAGACTCCTCAGAAACTAACCAAGTCACGGCTGGAATGAACCAGCTTACGGATGGGATGACCAACGCCTGAGAAGATCAGGGACTTCGCCTAGCAACTCTCTGGAGGTCCAGAGATGAACCAAAGGATATCACCAGAAGAGGTGTGGCCCAAACCTCTCGAGGTGGCCGTTAAGGGTAGAGGTGGGAGCAGAAGGCCTCTTGGAACTTCTGGGTTCCCCATTTGACCTCTACAAACCTCAAAGATGGTGAGATCTCAGCCTGCTGAGGCACCATGGGACCCATCAGAGGTGGGATGGAGACCCCCATCCATGTCATTCCTGCCTACCAAGTAGCCTCCACCGAAAACAACACAGCCAAGGAGACCCCGAGAACATCGGTGGAGGCCACCAAGAAAAGTAAGGACACCTACCTGTAGTATCTCCGGACATTTTAGGTGGTGGTGGTGGAGGAGCTTCCGCTTTTTTCCGGCTACCCCCGGACGTCGCAGGGGGCAGCAGCGTGCTGACGGGGTGGTTCTTCGGTGCCCCGAACCCTTGGCCGAGTCCTTTGAACTGTACGGTGGTAGAAGCCGTAGTCGTGGTGGAGATCGTGGTCGTCGTAGTCATACTGCTGGTCACCCGTTCGAAAACCGAGGTGGCAGGGCCATTGTAAATCCCAGGGATGGTGCTGGTCTCCAGAGCTTCCAAGGGGCTGCTGGAGCCCCACACGATGACCTCCGTCTCCATCGTTGGCTTGCTGTTGGCTCGGAGGTACCTTTTCCGCCGTTTCAAGTAAGCCTGGGAGATGGTCCTCCTGTCCGTCAACGTAGGGTTGGATTTCACGCGGGCGAGCGGCGGCGTCCGCCGGCTTTCCCACCAAAGGTCAGCCACGTTGTGCAACCTTTTGAGATGGGACAAGTCGGGCCGTTGCCCGTCGGAGAGTTCCAAGTAGTCCAGGCTGGTTGGAGGTCCGAGCCTCCTGGCTGGCGGTCCGTATCTAAAGCTCCATAAAAGATGGTGAGGGAATCCATGCCAGCGGGCGGGTCTCTGCAAAAAGTGGTGCCGGTGGTCTCGGCCCAAAGACGCACAAGAGGAGACCTCCATGGCGAGTCGGAACATGGCTATTAAAATCCACGCGTGGCTTGGCACAGGAGAAGCTGACCTGAGGATGGAGAGAGAAGTGGGTTAGATACAGGCGCCTATGAAGCCAAACATCTAAAGATGGTTTGTAGGACAACCTCGGGTGAGGTTTCCCTCAGCAACCAGGTCAACCAGGTTTCCAACCCTTGGCCAGCTGACCTCCTCACCCAACTCCAGGTCCAAAATAAGCAGGTTCCTCAACCACAATTTGATTCCAACCCTGCTGTAGAACCTCAAAGAGGTTCTCCTCTGATTTTCCATGTCTTCCCCTGGTGTCCCTTCTTCTCTTTGAACATCCTTATTTCGCGTTCTAGAATACGAATCTTCTAAACTACAATGCACTCTTCTTTTGGCAACCCCTTACTATAACCCTAGTTGCTAGAACTAGTTAGGATAACACACACACGACCCTCGTGCCTACGGACCAGCGTTGAGATGGCTTCATCCGACCTCGCCTTCTGTCAAGTTCCCTCTCCGACACCTTCTCCAGAACGTCATTGTCAGCAGAGCCCTCTCCGAGCCCCCCTTGGGCAAGCGTTTCAACTCCTTCCTCTGTTCTCACGACCAACTCTTGATCGCCTCCGAGAAATTGCGCGGCTGAGAAATCCTCAGCACAGAAGGTTCTGTGAGGAGGCCTCCTGACCTCCCTCCTACTCTCCTCCGCCGCGGGAGCACCAAACCACGTTCCTTTGGAAACGGGCTGCGTTTCTCGTGCCTTCCACATCCACCGGCTCGTTTTGTTATCTGACGGAGTGAGGACTCCATGAAAACATTCCCTGAGAGGGGGAGAACCTGTTCTAGGCAGATGGACCGAGATGGATCAACGCTTCCACAGGTCCAGCTACTCCTGAACGGGGGCTTCTGGTCTAGAACCTGAAGGCCAGGCCTGTCGACGTAGGTGGAGAAGGGAGAAGACAACCTTTACTAAATGGGGAGAACGTCTTGTGAGGATCTTCACCCATCGTTATAAACATACATGCAATTAGGAGTTGAAGCGAGAGTGGAGCAGTTTTTCTGTCTTTCTAGAGGTTGGTGGGTAAAACGGGCGTGCTTCACTTAACAACCGGTGTGGCTTAGCCGGGGAAATTCTGGTTCCAGTTGCGGTTGTAAGTGGAGGACTCCGTAAACGCAAACTCCGTGTTTGCATTGAACGGCCTTTGCCTCCACCATCCGCTAAAGGGCTACAGAGGGAGGAGGAGGAGGAGGAGGAGGAAGGAGGAGGAGGAGGAAGGAGGAGGAGGAAGGAGTTACTCTTTGGAGGAGAAACTGCCTGAGCTTTGGTTCTTATAGGTGTTTGTGTGACACCATCTTCTTCCTCCCGTCTTCTTCCTCCATCTCCTTCTTTCACTCTCCTCCTCTTCCTCCTTCTCTTCCTTCATCTCCTCCTCCTCTTTCACTCCTCGTCCTCTTCCCCCTCTTCCTCCTCCTTTTCCTCTTCCTTGTCCTTCTCTTTCTCCTCCTGTTCCTCCTCTTCCTCCTCCTTCTCTTCCTCCTCTAACTCCTCCTCCTTCATCTCCTCTTCCTCTTCTCCTTCCCCCCTCTTCTTTCTCCTTCTCCTCTTCCTTGTCCTTCTTTCTCCTCCTTCTCTTCCTCCTCTACCTCTTCCTCCTCCTTCATCTCCTCTTCCTCTTCTCCTTCCCCCTCTTCTTTCTCCTTCTCCTCTTCCTTGCCCTTCTCTTTCTCGTAAGTCGAGGACTTCCTTTGAAAGCTGCCCCAAGGGTGCTGGGATTGTGACTGTATGCCTCTCACAACTGTGCGGGTGTGTGTCTCCTGCCCCCCCCCTCTCGCCACACACTCCCAGGAGAGAAATCTTCAGATGGCCTGAAGTGAGGGAGATCTGGTTTGGATCAGAGTTTGACATGCCGTGATAAATGACAAGCCAGTTTTAAGGACACGACTCGGTTTCAGCTGCTCTGCAGAAGCCGGATCTGCTGACTTTCACCTGGCGGGGGCCCCAGGATCCCTGTGGACGTGACTCAGTTCCCCCCCCCCACCGTTTTGCAAGTCCTTTGACGACCTCAACGCCAGAGCCTGCCTGCCTGGATAGATAGATAGATAGATAGATAGATAGATAGATAGATAGATAGATAGATAGATAGATAGATAGATAGATAGAT